ATAGTACCTAAATGTGCTAAGAAAAGTAACAAAGTAGTCATTAAATAAGTAAGCTATCTATCTAAATTTACTACAATGAATTGTATTATATCGTGTGGCCTGCCTGTCTGTCAATTTATATTCGTCGAATCAGTCGAATACACTGCCGCCACTAGGCTACCGATTAACCGTAAGAGTAGGCCCTATACCTCATAATTTTGCATAGGCCTATATGCCTACTTACTCAATGTGTCGATTGTCTTTAATAGTTTTTCCAGAAGACTTTCTTCTGGGTAAAGCAAGAAGCCAGAAAATAAACAGTATCCAGCTTGACCGTAGTTGTGAAGTCCGTAATTCCGTCCAGCCTTTAGGGCAACGTCAACGACATCACCCTTTTTCAGTTTGACTGTGATCGTATTGCTCGACATCTCGTGGCCACTGTTTCCGTTGGACCAAACGCAGATTTGCTCTACGTCATTCTTGTACAAACAACCAAACGCAGAACTACTAGATGAGTACTGGCTCATTAGACTCAGAGAAAAAACATAGGTTCCTGAGATGCTGGTAGTAAATTTGCCGTCTTTAGGATTGTAGTCATTGCCGACGCTGGTCAAGACTGAATCGAAGACGATACGTGTATTTTTGTCCAACGCTGCGTTGAGCCCAGTTGTCAACTTGGCCGTAAATGCTGACTGTGTCGAATAATTTGTTTCACCTGCTACTAGGATTATAACTGCGGCAAGCAAAGCACCAATAAACAAAGCCATTTCTAGAGAGAAATAAAACAAATTAAAGTTAATGTTAACAACAAAGAAAGAGGGAAAATGAATAGGCCCCCTATAATAAATAGGGTAGATAGATCAAGTCGAAGATTAGATACATTAAAAGATACCGTTTTATCTGCCAAGAGAATTTGAATGTATTAAAGCTATAGTCATTGCTTATCATACACAGTTACTTCAACCCCGTTCTTCTGAATGCCCTATTCTAATTGTAGGGGATTTAAACCAGTGTAAACTTAATCTGTGCTCCCAAATTTCAGATATTATGTGTCATAAAAAATAGACACTGTATCATCGTATATTGCCTTTTGTGCGAACATCCACACCACCAACTTCCTCGATGCCACACTCAGCCTAAAAAATGGGTCCTTCAAGCCTTACAGCAAACCAAACAACCAACTACT